ATACATCAACCACGACATGCATGCACATGCAAACATTTCTGCAAGAATATCAATGCTAAAATACTCAGAAATCAGGATTCAGGAATCAGTCTTGGCTGTCAGTTGTAGCGGCCTCTCTCTCACACACACACACACACACACACACACTCACCACTGCATCTCCAGTGCACGCATTCTGCTCCACATCCAGAACGGTTGACATGTTTCCACACAGGAGACAGTGACAGGTTCAGAGAGGAGACAGGAAGAGATGGGAGGATCCACGAGAGAAACACAGAGTGGCTGAAGGAGGGATGGAGGAGAACGGACAGGGAGAGCAGTAGCTAGGCAGAGATCCAAGAGGGAGGGGAGAGAGAGGAGGAGAGAGAGGGAGATAAATGAAGAGAGGAGGTATGTTTTGAGAGAGAGAGAGAGAGAGAGAGAGAGAGAGACAGAGAGAGGGAGAGACGGTTGAGATACAGATAGAGTGAGGAGGAAAAAGAAGTGACTGCGGTTTGTGCTGGGGAGGCAGTGCTTGCTCATGCATACGGCAGCGCTAAAAGAGCCCTGCTCTGATTGGACGAGGGGGAGTCAGGTGGACGGGAGGTGGCAGGAGCAGGGATGAGAGGGGTGGGGCAGACACAGAGAGGGCGAGGATGGAATGATGCTCTCCACTGCACTTTATTATTTGTTTTTGGGTGGGGTCAACTGGTTCACTTCTCAGATTCAACAAAAGAAGAGATGCAGAGAGATTTGACCTTGCAAATGAATTAATCTAGACTAAACATATTGATTAATGATTGATGATTATTGATTATATTCATTATATTTATTCATGGTAGTGGTTCTCAACTGGTTTCGCATCAGGACAGATTTGATTTTATCAAGTGGGGGTAAACAATTAAAACAACGACTGATTATCATATAACTATACAAAATGCCCTTACAATTTATTAATATTTCTTTTACCTTTGCGTACGGTCATTTTCAAGATTAGGATGTCAATGTTGGAATGTAAAATGTTTTTTTGACATCAAGATATTATATAAAATCAAAATGATATATTTATAAGAATAATAACAATTATATACATATATAAATGTGTGAAGATTCAAAACAAATATTCTTAAGTTTGCAGCCAGAAATGAGACAAGTCTGTCAAAACCTTCCAAAACTTCTGTATGGGGACATCCTCAATTGTAAAAACAGCATAAAAATAAAGTAAAAAATAAGTTTTCTGTTAGGGTTAGGTTATAGTATTTCAAACTAGTTGTATATAAAAACAATATCTAAGGAACGTCCCTGTTTAGATAGCTAAGCAAATGTGTGTGTGTGTGTGTGTGCACAAACATGTACACTATGTATTTAAATGTATATGTATACATATATACTGTATATATATATATATATATATATATATATGCAATGCATTTCCACTTGTGACCCAT